TGTGGCCGGCGGGTGGAACTGGATGAGCTTTAAGGTCCTTTCCAACACAAAACATTCTGTGATTCTAGGATGTTCTAAATTGTCACTTACTTATTTGATATTTAATGTCCTTTCTGGGACAGAGGAGAAGAATCATCTTTACTTATACATAAGCAAAGCAGATGCATCATTTTGTAGCTGCTGCAGTCTTAGGACTGATGTTAAGTGCAGCAGCATCAGCCCTTCTGAGCAAGGGAAGTGTTTGCTGGCCCATCTGTGGCATAGCCCACCAACAGTGTAGACAAAGCTCCCACAGAGCCAGTTCTGCTGCCTTTTCCCGTTGTGGAAATGTAGGAGAAATTGCTCCATGCAGTGGAGCTGGCTTGACTGTGTGTTTGACTTGCAGCACACATGGTGTCCTCAGGACTTACAGCACAGATCCGGGAAAGCCAACTTGAGCTGCGAGACTGAAGCAGATACCAATTTGTTTGGTGTTTTGTTTTTTTCAAACGAGCGAACATGTAACTTGTTTATGTGGATCTCTGTTGCTCTTGCAGATCTGTCAGTCATCTGAAATTTCCAGCGGCGGTTGCGCATTTCAAAATTGAGAAACACATTTAGAAAACAGCATTCGTAGTTCTTAAACCGTCTGGAGCCCTTCGTGCAGAGAGGAGCCTTCCGCCAAAGCTCCCCGCTGTGGTCTGCCCCTTCTGCAGAGATAGCTGGTGTCTCACTGCCATCTGTTGTCCGCTGTGTGGAATAGAAACTTGCCCCGTTAGGTTTTTGGTGGGGTTAAGCTCGTCTCCTCCTCCTCCATAGGAATTTAATTCCAAGAAAACATAAATGACTTGAAGGATTAAAAAAATAAGCAAAATGAAAGGCAATAGGTCAGGGCTGAACTGATCTTTAATTGGTGACAGCAGGAAAATCTCCCATGAATGGATAGACCTTAAGAGAGAGAGGGACAGAGAATGAATGCAAAAGATTTCTTGAGGCATAATGGGAATCATAACCTGCCATTCATATTACTGCAGTTCCCAGTTTTGAATGGCAAAACCCCAATGAAATTGAAAAATTTCTTTTATCCAGATTCCTTCCTCTGTTAATCCGTTTGGAATCTGAGGTGTAAAGTGGGTTTTCTTACTGATGTCATTCCTCTGTTGTACACATGCTGGAGAAAGGTAGTACAAGTAACATGGAAATGAGGAAGACAAATAGTTTTGGTCTCTATGCACTGGAGTATTTGTCTCGTAAATGCCTCTGACTCCATCTGTTTATGAATTCATCCATCAGAATGCTCATTAAAATACTGGCATTCTTATCTCACTCACACCCTTGGCCTTCTGTTGCTTTTTGCTTGTTTTCTCAAGAAAGTGCATGGATATCTTAGTGCTAAACATGAGAATTCTTTTCTGGATCCCAGAAAAACTGGGGGTTTCACCAAAACCTCATGGTCTGGTTGCTCCATGCTACTTACAGGAAAGAGAGGAAAGCCACCAGAGTCGCAGCACCCTGCATTTGTACAGAAGAGATACCACTTTATCCCAGAAGAGGGAATTATCTGCTGCAGAAGGATTTGTAGTCTTTCCTAAAGCTTTTTCCGAATAGTGTTTGGAGCTGGGAAGTTGATGAGTCCAGGAGCATCAGCTGCAGGAGTTTTCATTTTTCCAGCAGGACACAAAAGCGTCTTTGTGAGGATAAGAGTGGGTTGGTTTGGTTTATAGGGCTTAGCAGACACTTGGTATAAATCATCTCTCTGTATATTTTTTGTGTGTTTTTAACAGAATTGGTCTCCTCCAGGCTGTGAGAAGCTAGGGAAGTGCCTGAAACCACCCAAGTCTGATCCTAAGAAGTGCTTTTGGCCTCATTGATCTTCTCTGCAGCCCTCAAGAGCTACACAGAAAAGCTATAACCAGCCGGACATACAGTTTACAAAGCATGTCTTCTCATGTTGGCACTCCTGTTTACACAGGAAGGGTGTGATGTATGTATGATATCATCATTTGCCCTTCCAAAAGGGCCAGTGTTTATATCTCTAGTGCTCAGGGTTTAGCCTGTACTCTTCTGTTGTAGTTGTTTCCGTAAAAGGTAACTTTTCAGTGAAGACTGTTACAACTCTAAAAGCTCTCTGTACAACCACAACTCTGCCATCACCTCAGAAATGCCATGGATGCACCTTTCCTCTCACTCCTTCCACCCAATCTGCTCTCTCAAATCATCACTCATTCAGATGCCCCAACACCAGCATGTTCAGGAAACGTAGAGCCGCCAGAAAACCCTGCCCAAACTGCCCTTGTTTGGTTTGCCTATAACTTGTTGTTTTAACATTTGATTTCCATTGTGAAATCTGGACACCAGCTTGTTTTTCCTTTCTTCCTAAACCTGCAAGTACTGGGTGCAGCTGTAGGGCCCAAACTACTGGTGTGCATCACTGTGTTCCTGAGTAAGGGGTTGGCTCCAGGGAGAATGCTCTGCCTTCCTTCATCTGTAACTGCAAATATTCCGTAGGTAAAGAAACCTGAAGATAGTGTTCATGTAAGTATTGCCTTATTGACAGTGTGCAGGATATTCTTGGGGAGCTGGGGGTCAGTAGTTCATTTCAGGGGGTTTCTTCATTTCCAAAAAAAAGCTGGGTCCAAATATGGTTTAAGTCATGCCTCTCATCTCATGATCTGGACCCGGCCAACTGCAGGCTCAGAAATGCCCATTTACATCAGACATTAACTCTTGACCCTGTTTCCAGTGTACGCTCTCTGAGGAATTCTCCTTGTGCAAACTTTCCACAGCCTGGGTGTAGCACTGCTTTAAACAGAGTTCATGGTAAATGCCGATCCTTTGCACAATTTCACATTGCAGATTTCTCATCTACTTCTGAGCCTGTTTCACACTCTTGGCTATTGCTAATAAACATGTCTCAAACAAAACCGAGCAAGGTTACTCTGGGGCTTCAGGGAAGTAGCTAGAAGCAGTCCTGAGCATGCTGTTTGCACCACTGAATGCAAACAGGAATGCTCCACTTCTACCCCTCTAGTGTTTTAGACAGTCCATGGGCCCTCTCTGCATGCTGTTGTGCTGCCTTGGGAAAAATCCAGCATGTAAACAGCCCAGCTTCCTTCCCAAGCAAAGCTTGGGGCTGGCTTGAGAGCTCTGCTTCTGCTTCTTGAGAGCTCTGCTTCTGCTGTGCTCCTGCCTGGTACGGGCTTCTGTATTGCTTACTCTCACCCTCCCTGTAATCCCAAAGGCTCTCATTCTTTCTGTTCCCATGGTTTACATTACCTGTAATCCTCTCCACAGTAATTCCTAGTGTATATCTCACGAAGCTGGATAATCCTATAAGATTGCAATAAGAATAGCACTTGAGTCGGCTCTCACTGTTCCACCCATCAGAAATCCCAGCCAACACTTCATCAGCTGGCAGAACCTCTGAATCTCTGTGCATCTGCAGATGGCATTTGTTTATAGTCCAGATTTCTTATGATGTTCCTAATTGTCCTTCAAGTATATTAAAACATTTCTAGTTCATCCACAACATTTCTCCTTGTTTTGATGTTATGTGAATAGCTCAGGTCTGGAGAGATTCTGACCAGCCTGTTCTTCACTGATGCTGTATGAGGAGGGCAGGAAGGAGGACTTGCAGCAGTCATGTGTGTCTGTCAGCGCAGGAGACCAGACAAAACCAGTAACTTCCCATTTGCTGGGTCTGGTCCACCTCAGCTTTAAGGGCTTCTGTGAGCCACAGCTGTTCAGGACTCTGCAGTTCTCTAGTATCAGCAGATAGAGATACCAACCAGAGGAGGGAGTTCATCGCTGCAACTCCCTGAAAATCCCTGGCAGCCCTCGCATAGTTAGGAACAGATCTGCTGCGAACTGCAACAGCACTTTGTCTGTCTGCATGCTGCTATGAAGAGATCCCACTGCAGGACCACAGCTCATTGAGCTCTAGCCTAGACACGTTCCTTGGTTCTTAGCCCTTGCAGCAGGCACACTGTGAGTGCACTGGATGCCTGCTACCCCATGTCCCATGCCTGTCTGGCTGTCACTTCGTTCTTTACTTCTTCAAATCAGCAAGCTGTGAAAATACTGCTTTTCCCCTGTCTGTGTAACTTGCTCAGACAAGCCATCCTGTTCTCAGCACACACGGTGTTTGTCTGGTTACCCAGCACACTAAGCCCTCATTCCTCACTGAAGTAATCTCTCAGTGCATAGATACTGGATGTAAACTTTGCACTAGAAAGCTGACTTCTATAAGGGAATTAACTTCTGTTGATGTCTGTTTCTTATCTGCTTCATGTCCTTTTATTATGAAAGATCAAAGCTTAATGTGAAGAACCGAATGCTTTAAATAAGAATAGTAGTTTTACAGCTGGATGGATAGGAAGAATTTGAAATCAATGCCTTTTCCAAAGATGTACAGATTTTAAAGTTGTGAGATGAAGCACTAATGAAGAAAAATAAACTAATTTATTAGAAATGCATTATCTGAGTTGTCTGTGCGCACCTGTAAAACAACTGAACAACACCTTGCTTTGGGACAGTCTCACAGATACGTCTTCCAGATCATGAGACTGACCTGGGTTAAAAATAGCTTGTTTTGTTTTTCCCTGTATTATTTTTAACGTGGATCAATTTCCCAGCCCACACGGCTGCCCAAGCACAGCCCCAAGCCAGGGGTATACTGTGACTGTGTGCACCAGCACGGCTGCAGGGGTGAGCAGCCCAAACCCACTCATACACCCCTCAGCTCGCAGCAACCAGTACATGTAACCACATCTGCCCTTAAGAATTAGCCTCTGATCTGAGACTGGGCCATGTGATAGTTGCCCAGTTTGGGGAATTGGCCTTACTGGCTTTGCAGGAGCTGCCTGGGGCTGTGTGAGCAATCGCAGAGGACGGAGGGGTGGGTAGGCTGGGGTTCACTGCCCTGATGGGACCTGCAGCAGTGAAGCCTGTTTGTTGGTGGCTTCATTTCTCAAGCTGCAAGATGTGAGAGCTAAAGGAAAGATGATGTCTTCCTAAGACTGCTTCTATGTGACATTCATTTCTTTATATTTAAATACGTCTGCTAAATGCAAAAAGCTTAATATCTGCTTGGGCTAAGAGTCCAAGGAATTTCTTTCTTGCCTTTAATTTCCAATTAGCTGAGCCTCACGAGTCTCCCCACTCTGCCCCTGAGGCTGTGCTATCATCCAGCCCTCCACACAGAGAAGCTTCTGAAATTGATGTAACTAATAATCATGGAAAAAGTCCTACTGCATTTACAGTCCACGGCTGCGAAAATGGAGCCTTGATTTAAAATCCTGCAGCGACAAATGGATTATTTCGGTGGCAAATTAGTCTCTGTGGACCAACAATTTGGGGATCTGAACACTGGAACTGCAAACCAGAAGATCAATTCCGAACACTTAAGAGCCAAGGTTAATGCCCTGCAAACCTGTATTGAGTGCAGCAATGAAAGATAACATGCCTCTGCATTTAAATGGAAAGCTGAGGAGCGCGGTTATTAAAAGTGAAAATGGGCAAGTTCGGAACAGAATGAGAGCGAGTGATACCCACGTATTTGCTAATAAAATGTTACGTGGTGTCTGGGGACTGAGTTTCCAGCAAGGGCTGAGGACGACAGTGGGCTTTTACTGAAGGAACTGGAACTGATATTGCTGAGAAGGAAGCTGTTGGACTCGGGATGCTCGCTGCCATGGGGAAGCTGGCAGTTCTCAGTACCTGCCAAGTCAAGCCTTTCCCAAACGCAGTGGACAGCTTCCAAAGCCTCCTGGTTTCACATAAAGCGAAGCCCATGAGATGAGGATTTCCTGAAGGTTCGAGAATACTCGTTTTCCAATTAGGACATCTCTGCTGTATCCGTGCAAAATACTTTCAGCAGCTGAAGAAAGACCTTCCGAAGGTGAGAACGGTTGGAATCGGGGTGTTGGGGGGGAGGCAGTTTGTTGTGTGCAGAGTTGCCAGCAGCCTCTTCAGCACAGCTACATGAGAAATCGCTCCCCAGGGATCCTGCTGTTGTCCTCAGCACTGGGAAACATTACAAACTACTTGCTCTTTTACTCTCTTAAGAGTTAACTCTGCTTGTTCAGTGTCTGAAAAATGGTTTTGCGGTTAGAGAGGCTTGTTTTTCCATTTCTCTTAACAGTTATAATACTTGGAAATAGACTTTTGCTTTTGTTTTCCGGTAGTATTTGATGTGAGTTTTTCATTTGTTATCACAACAGTGCCTTTTGAATTAAACTGAGTTTTGAAGAACAGTTGTAAGGGAAGAGCTGAAATCCTGTTTTAAGTTCTTTTTTCCTTTGGAAAATGGCTGTTTTAAACACTGAGAAGAGACTCCATTTGCCTGTTTTCTTTATATCCCCTTCCACCATTTGAAGTTTTGTTGTTGCTCGAAGTCTAGTTCGGGTTATATAAATCCTAAATAGAGGTGGATCCCTCGCCAAAAGCCTGTGGTCTTAGGAGTGAAACAAAACCCTCTGCCATCCAACTTCTCCAGAGAGCCAGTCTGGCAGCTGTCTGTGCCTTTGTCCCTCATGGAGTCACTTAATACCCTTCTGGGCACTACGTAGGTTGGTAGCACGATACCCGTCTGAAAGGGATAGGGGCTGAAAAGCCCATTGGCCCATTCGCCAGCAGCAAGGAATGCGTGCCAAATCCATTAGCCCTGGATCAGACTCAAAATCCCTTCCTGCCCTGAGCAGAGAGAAGAGTTCTGTGTCTTCTCCAAGGGCCTGATCCAACCTGCTGCAGCTCAGGAGGTGCTGGGTTCAGCTCTGTACAAGCAGGCTGCTGTGGAAGGACAGGACCCGTCCACAATGGTGTCCCCCTCTTTTAAGAGAAGACAAATCTAAGCTCATTGTTCAGGATGGAC